AGGTTGCATGGCTTGCAAACAGAAACAAGTTGTGTAGAAGGAGTGCTGATGTATGCTTGTGTCACAAGATAAAAGGCTGCCCTGAAATACATGAAAGGGTTCATCCTTTTCCCTCCAAGATCAGCCTTTTGAATAAGCCATGAGCTGACTTTAATTGTACAGTTCTATTCTTCGGTGTCATGCTTTCTCTCTGGAAACTGACAATGGGGTATTAAGTTTTGGGTTGTGACCCTAGCACACACAGGTAATGGCAAGGCTTTAACTACTTGCTACAGCCCTCATTCCAATTATTTAATTGTATTGGCAGCACCTCATCAGTTTTAATGTGGTTCAAACACTAAACAGAGTTGAGTCTGCTAAGTGTTCTCTCCCTGGAAGCAGGCATTGCTTGGGTGAGGGGCCACCAGAAAAACCTAGGGTTTAAGTCTTCATTAGGAAGTCCCTCCATCCCAAAAAGAAAATGCTACTGCAAACATAATAGGTATGTGTTGATGAAATCACCAAGATTCAACCTTAATTTGAAGGATAATTTATCTTAAAAAAAAATCTTAAGCTTTAAGCTTTCAGTCCTCACTGGGTGCACTGAAGAGCTGCCTATCCCCTCCAAGGTCCCTTCCAATGTTGTTGTTGTTGTTGTTGTTGTTGTTGTTATTATTATTATTATTATTATTATTATTATTATTATTATTATTATTATGGATCATCGCATAATCAGCCAGATGTTCAGACTGGATTTGACATTTTGTCTACCTATCGAGTCCTTACCCAGGACCTGGGATAGGCAGATGTGGATGTTTGATGGTATTACAGATATCGTCGCAGGATGGAAGCAGTTCCTAATAAGGCCGCCTTTTGCAATTGACTAATAGCGAATTTGTCAATGCCAATGGTGTTCAAGTGGTGCTCCAGTTGTTTTGGGATTGCACCCAAGGAGCCTATGACTATTGGTACTACCCTTGCTTGCTTTTGCCACAGTCTTTCTATTTCTATTTGTAGGTCTTTGTATTTTGTTATCTTCTCCAGTTCTTTCTCTTCTATTCTGCTATCTCCAGGCACTGCCGCGTCCACTATCCAGACTTTTTTGTCTTTCTTATCGACAATTGTTAAGTCTGGGGTGTTATGTTGCAGGTGCTTGTCTGTTTGAATTCTGAAGTCCCAGAGCAGTTTAATTTTATCATTTTCTATGACTTTCTCTATTTTATGATCCCACCAGTTTTTGCTTACAGGCAAATGATATTTTTTGCAGATCTTCTAATGCACCATTGTTGCTACTTTGTCATGCCGCTGCTTGTAATCAGTCTGTGCAATCTTCTTGCAACAGCTTACCAGGTGGTCCACTGTTTCTTCAGCTTCTTTGCAACAGACACTTACTGTCTGTTGCTGTCTTCTCAATTTTGACTTTATATGCATTTGTCCTTAAGGCTTGGTCTTTTGCAGCCAGAATTAGTCCCTAGGTCTCTTTCTTCAATTTTCCTGCTCTTAGCCATTGCCAGGTCTTGTTATTATCTGCTTTCCCAGCTATTTTTTTAATGTATTGGCCATGTAGTGCTTTGATGATGATGATGATGATGATGATTACAGCTACCTCAACAATGCTGAATAAAATCCTTTCTCTTATCCGAGAGCATCTATCTTTTAGAGACAGAATATTGCTTACTTTATTTTTAAGATGAGTAATTTCATCTCCTTTTGTGATCCTACTCTGCTGGTCTAACACATAGCAAATTATACAACTATTTTAATTTTAATGTAACAGAGTTGTGCAAGGATTTAGATTTGCTTCCAAAACCGAAGCATGCACATAATTATTTTATTATATGTCTTAGTCTGTTTAATTCTACAATGACTCTGGGCAGTGTACAACAAAACCAATCCTAAATTACAATTAAAACCCCAAGCATCTAGACGATAAAACAATTCTAAAGCAATAAAATATACATGATCTTTATTTTTTTTTCTAATTCAAGGCCTGGGTGGAAAAGGTCTAATTTCCAGAGGTCTTTTATATACACCAAGGAGGGATGTAGGCAAATCTCAAGGGAATGTTCCCTAGTGTTCATCATCAACCATACTTTATGTAAGCAAATGTATGTGGAGCAAAATTAAAGTCCTGAAGTAGTTCAGGATTTCAAGGCATAGAGCATGTTACTCAGAGTCCAGATCAAATGACTGCATAGCATTCTGAATTTGAAAGCAAAACAAACGGGGATGTGTCTTTTTGAAAGTTAGGTGGGAACAGTGGTAAGTACAATTAAAAAAAGGAAGCTTACATCATGGAAATTAGCATTTTAAAAGTTTTCATGTGTTTCGGAAATGAAATCAAGATGATATGCATTCGAAGAAATTATTGGGCAATTCAGTTTAAAAAACACAGTAGATTAAGACATTACCAAACTTTCATTTGTTGGAAGTGTCAACGTTTGGTTACAACATTTTCTACATTGGTTTTAAATCCACAGAAAAATGGAAGGTTAGAATATTAGACTGCTAAAGAAGACCTGAAAGTAAGCACGGTTAGTAACAAGTTGCATAGACCTGAATTGAATTAATTAGGCTTTGATCTGAAAAAATGTTTCTTTATAGGACACCTAGGATTTTCTGGGGGGACAAAAAACTATGTTTTTACATGGCATTAATTACAGAAGAGCTACAATTTAGTGGTTAAATGCAATTTTTTCAGGGAAGTGCTGCCTTAAAATTTCTGGCCTGGAGAAAACATCCCTCAACAGATCTTGCCTTGTTCCCTCTGGTCTTCAGCAGGAGAGGCATCTTAATAAGTTATCTTTCAGTGTTTATTATGCAAGTTTTATCATGCCTTTCTTTGTCTCTCATTCTACTAAGGAGTATTAGCGGAAGCAAACACAAAAGCTAGTCTGGTTATCTTGTGGAATATGAAAGGGCTCTTACGAATTCCAGAGGGTTTAGTAGAGAGATTTATTGCGCAGGTTCAGAAGCTAGAGCAACAAGCAATTCTGAACCCCGAGGGTGGGTTCAGACTTCAGTTTTATACTTTCTCTTTCTCAGGAACAAAGGAATACACACATTGTGATACATTAGGTTAGTTTCTCACGGGTATACAATGGAGAGTTTGCTACATACATTGTATCCAAGTGCAATGCACATTAGGTTAGTCACATATTGCTAACACAGCATTATTCCAGTAATTATGCAGACACATCATTATTTTAGTGATTTTTTCATTATTCCTCATTAGTTAGATTTAAGTTAATAGTCAATCAAAATGAAACAAAGGCAGTCTTTAGGTGTCTTTGAATACCCTTTATATATGACATCTGCTAGCAGTTTACTTTCTTTTCTTATTCTTACCATCTACCCATCCATGAAAGTAATAGTAATAGTAGTAAAGTTGGAAGGGACCTTGGAGGTCATCTAATCCAACCCCCTGCTCAGGCAGGAAACCCTACACCATTTCGGACAAGTGGCTGTCCAGTCTCTTCTTAAAAACTTCCAGTGTTAGAGCATTTACCGCTTCTGGAGGCAGGCTGTTCCACTGATTAATTGTTCTCACTGTCAGGAAGTTTCTCCTTAGCTCTAGGTTGCTTCTCTCCTTGATTAGTTTCCACCCATTGCTTCTTGTCCTGCCTTTGGACAATAGCTTGACTCCCTCTTCTTTATGGCAGCCTCTGACATATTGGAATACTGCTATCATGTCCCCCTTTGTCCTTCTCTTGGTTAAACTAGACATACCCAATTCTAGCAACCGTTCCTTATATGAGTATATAAGTAATTTTCTTGCAGTGATAAACAGAAACTGACATTCCCCTGAAAAGGGCACAGCTTTGTGAGAATCCAGTCCCTTGTGTGAGATGTGCCCTTGTAACACTGGGGAGTTTAGCTTTAGTAATTACAATTATATCCTGTGTTTCTTCCAAGATGACCCCTGTCATCTTTTCCCTCCTTCTATTTTATGATGCTACATGTCCTATAGGTTGCACTCTTAATTCTCACACCAGGTGTTTGCTTAGCAAAGCAGAAAACAACATGGAAAATGGGGAACCCACTAGTGTGAGATACAAGATGCTGTAATCTTCAGGTGTGTTGGATTCTAGCTCTTAGCCATGGGACTAAGGGGACAGAAAGTCTAACATATTTAGAGGGTATCAGATTGGAGAAACTATGCATATATTTAAACTACTGCACTGAACATCTCTCTCTTAAAGATATGCCTTGCTTTGCAACCATTAATTTTGTGACCATTTGAAGTTATTGCACTGCTGGAAAAGGTGACTTCTGACAGATCCTCACATGTATGATTGTTGCAATATCTCTGCAGTCAGATCAGGGGTCTTCAGACTTGGCCCTTTTATGACTTGTGGACTTCAACTCTCAGAATTCCTCAGCCAGTGTGCCTGGTTGAGGAATTCTGGGAGTTGAAGTCGACAAGTCATAAAAGGGCCAAGTTTGAAAAGCCCTGAGTCAGATGATCAAAATTTAAGCCTGGAGCAACTAGCATACATTTATGATGGTTGCAGTGTCCCAGGGTCACATGATCACCATTTGTGACCTCCCAGCCGGCTTCTGACAAACAAAATCAATGGGGGAATCCAGATTCAGTTAATGACCACATGCGTCACTTAACAACCATGGGGATTCATTTAACAACTGTGGCAAAACAAGGTCATAAAATCAACTATGACTCACTTAACTTGCTTAAGCAATAGAAGTTCCTGTCCCAATTGTGGTTGTAAGTTGAGAACTATTCATATTGACATGTACTGTCCTTCATTGTTATAAAGACCCAGTGTTTTTTTTCTAAAAAAAAAAAAATGTGCCGGAACTCACATATGTCATACAACCCGCCTTGCCTACCCTACAAGGTTCTATCCAAAAAAGGTGCCGGAACTCCGTTCTGGGCGTTCTATGATAAAAAAAGCCCTGGAAAGACCTACCTATACCATTTCTTTGTCAAAAGATCTCTGGGTAAAGTAGTTGTGGATTGTGCCTGTAAAATAAGGAATCAATGCAGAAATTTGATTTACCTTCATAGGTTGCTTTGAACCCTAGTAGGTTCCTCACGCTATCAGTCTGGAAGAGGAGCCACATCTGGTGTTGAGTGCTGACAATCAGATCAGGGATGGTTGTACCTGTTAAACTGTCAAGAAAGAAAAGAAACTAATGCAGCAGCAGCAGCAGCAGCAGCAGCAGCAATGATCAATTGTAGAGGTATTTGTGGACGGAAGAAACAGCTCCTCCTCAAAGAGAACACATTAAGAGAAATAAATGCAATGTTGCTAAAATGACTAGTAGAGAGAGGGAAGGCTTTTGCTGGGATCAGCTATCAGTTGCTCCACTTCTTTGCCAAATGTCTGGAACAAAAACTAGTAGTATTTATTTCTCTAAGGCTATCTCTACTATTAGGTAGATTGTGGTGGCTGATGCTGAGTTCACGAGGAATGGATTTTGGAGGACTGAATTCTGCATGTTCCCCCCACATCATTAATTTGCAAGTCCCCAGACCTGGCAGAAAATGCTGTTGTATCATCCTAAATTGACTTACATGATACATATGGAAAATGGGAACACAATCTTGTATTTACAACAGCCCTGATGCTTCATCTCAAGTCAGGCAATATAATAACCATCTTGCTAATGCAGTAAGACCTGTTGCATTTTTTTGTTGCATCTTCTTGCTCTCTCTCATGCTGTCCCATACTTTGATAAATGGATGCATATTTCCAATGTAGTTAGATTTCCAAAATGAAGTAACGGGTTTCCTACACTCATAAGCCAATGCAATAATGTTCCACAATAGAATATAAGAGCCAAAGATGAGCTATGTAGATCTTTTCAAGATTACATCATAATTCCTTTCTTTCTGTAACCAATTCTTTCTAATCATCAAATCATAAGTCACAAGGTCCCTCAATTTCCAGTAAGCAGCAAAAGATGAAGTTCATTGCTCTAGAATGATTCCCTAGAAACTTCATCTGTTTAATCAATATGCATTATAGATGAACACACAAACAGATATGCATGCACACACACGCACACGCACGCACACACACCAGATTTATATAGAACCAGATCTGAAAAGTTTTTCTTATCTTATTAAATTTTCTTTTTTTGTCTACCGACTGCTTTATATGAGATCTATTTTTTATTCTATTTTAACATTTAAGGAAATCATTTTATTAATGTTATCTTATTGACTATAATATTTTGATATTTGTTCAGCTATTGTTGTTTTTTTAAAGTGGTTTGCAAAATGAAGTGCCCATTGTGTTCAGAATGAGGATAAAAGAACAAGCCTATGTAATTTAATCAGAAGATCTGTACCAGATGCATCTCAAAGCAAGATTATGTACGAGATAAACATTTACATATCATTTTGGAACACCCTTGCTGAAGTCTCCAGATAAAGCTTTTTAAGTGGCTTGAAATTCTGTTATTCTGTCTGGTGAAAAAGAAGGACTAGGGGCAACATGACAGCATTGTCCCAATATTTGAGGAATTGCCACAAAGAAGTATCAACCTATTTTCCACAAAGGACCAGAAGACAAAAAACAATGGATGGAAACTAATCAAAGAAAAAAAAATAACCTAGAACAGGGGTGTCAAACTGTCAGCCTGCAGGCCGGTTTCAACATACCGAAGCCGCACCCATTGCCGGCAATGCAAAAAAAGTCACGATACATCGCGACAACAGCAGAACAGAGATAAAATATTACTGTGAAAAATGTTGACTGTAATATGATTTTTGACTTGTTGGGAATTTTTTTTAATTTTTTTTATTTCTGTAATACTGGAGCACATTTGAATTCCAACATCTTTTTTTTCATATTAAAATGTATTAAGTTGTTTATATCGTCAAATTGTTTCAGAGGAGTTTATGGGTAAATTGTAAACAACGATAAGACATTAAATAAAAGAAAAAGAATATAAAATAATAAAAAAATAATACAATAGGGAAACAGACTAATTCCACAACAAAAATGCTGCCAAAATACACTGAAAATGGAAGGTTTCCACAATGTATTGGAAAATTGTGTGTGTGTGTGTGTGTGTGTGTGTGTGTGTGTGTGTGTATCTACCCATTTGATGGAAGTACAAATTCAGATCATTGCAACTGAAATATTTTCTAGAAATCTAAGAGATACATAAGTAAAAAAACAAAAAGTAAAAATAAGAAGAATAATATCTGTAACAATAATTACAATAACAACAACAACTATAGTACAACCAGGGCTTCAGATATATATCCTCCTTTTTTTCTTTCTATCAACCTTCATTTTATGTTTTTTGTCTTTCTCTCATCCCTCCCAATTTCCCTCAATTGCACATTTAAATCAAAACTTTTTCCATTTGGGAACTAAACTGTATTGCTCTACAATTAGAAACATCAGCATGTCAAGTACCATGGAGAGCTGAACAATTAATCATTAGAGACCCACATACGGGAGTTGAGGGAACTATTCACAATGAGTTATTTTCTTGGTAGTCTCTTGTGTTATCTTTCAGCCACATCTGTCTTTTCTTCTATTCCTTTACTACTGTCCATTTTAGTTTTATGGAAAACTGCATCATTGCCTAGCCTACAATACACCCACTTTATAGCAATCAGTCCAACCAGAAAATTGTTCAGGGCTGATAGTGTGACATACAGAAAACTGTATCCTGGACCCATGCTGCCTTTCCCATCTCATCCTTCTCACCATTGGAGTGGCAGGAGATATTTCACCTATACACAGAAGCTCATGAACATGAACAGAACAGAAAAGGTCTTTATTGGCCCAGTATGATTGGACACACAAGGAATTTGATTGATTACAAAATGATGCAAAAAAACCCCAGCTCTGATGCAAGCAAACACAATTTGCTTTCTTTAGTGTAGCGTTTGAGCACGAGTAATGCCAGAACAAATGAAATATAAGGAAATTTGACCCTTGACAAGGTCTTATCCAACTATGTGAAATTAAAATAAACAACCCTGAATGCCATCCAGGAGAAGTTTAGTTGAGAAAGATTTCTAATGTTCATTCTACAGAAAACCGAGACACCGTCTCCTTTCAGAGAAGATGTTAACATAAATGTAGAATTTGTTGTTTATCCTCCTTTCCCTTCTTCATCAGTGGTTTTGCTACATGACCATAAGAAGAAACTGCTTGATTCAAGGAGCAGTTTAACAAAGAGACTCAATTTTTAATGGCCTGCTGGGCTCTCTTTTGCTGGAAACTTCCATGAAGAGGCAAAACAACACCTGTTAGAAACTTTTCTGTTTTGAAAAGGAGTTTGGTTTCCCCAAAGAGTTTTTATAAAAGGAGTTACAGTTACTGTGAAAGACTAGACTAAGGAACTAGACCAGGGGTAGGCAACCTTGGCTCTTTTATGACTCGTGGACTTCAACTCCCAGAATTCCTCAGCCAGCTATGCTGAGGAGAAATGGAGACGTTTCCAAGCTGAGCCATGCTGGCTCAGGAATTCTGGGAGTTGAAGTCCACGAGTCACAAAGAGCCAAGGTTGCCTACCCCTGAACTAGACTAAGGAAGACTAGACTAAGGAACTATACTGAAAAGAAGCTGGACAATAGCCACATAAAACTTGGAACAACCTAATTACTTCAATCATTGTAACAGTAAGTGAGGAAATTATTTTGTGTATATTTGGGAGTCTTTAATATCTTCTGTTTATTACAATTTTTTGAAAAATGTCTTACTTGGCAGTTTGCGACTGTTTTCATCTTTAAAAAGCCAAACTGGGAAAAAAATGAATTGTGTAACATTTTTAGAAAGCTGTACTGTTTCTACAGATTAACAATGTAATCCTGCTCAGAAATAAGAGCTGTTACTCCTTACTTTGTAGAAAGTAAGCAGGTATATTTGTTGGGAAGGGCACCCTATTTGCCTGACTCCATTCATTTTAGAGTCAAGAAATCTATGATGCAGAATTGTAGTCCATTAAATAATGTAAGAACTGGCTTGGCAGATCAGATCAAGAGCCCGTCCATGTATTTCTTCATATGTGTCATCTATATTGTCTCTCCATATACCCTCAGGAAATTCAGAAAAGTAGATGTAAGAAGAACCTTCTTATATTACGGCTCTCTGATTTAATGTAAACCATTTAAGACTAGAAGCCCCCGCTAGTCTTATTTTCATAATTCATGCTGCCTTCTCTTAATGCTGTCTACATTTGTGAGCGCCACATCACATCTGCAAGTAGAACATTCTGTGGTGTAAATATGGACATTGCTACCCAGTCACTTGTCTCTCTTCAGCAATTTTGTTAGTATCTTTGTTCCTGCTATCTAGAGATGGGAAGGATGAAAAAAAAAGAGTGTTCAGTTTGCCAATGTGCTCCAGCTTGCAAACCATTCCCCCAATCTGACATCATACCTATGTGGTGAAAGAAGCACATTCATTCCTCAAATAGAACCTAAAGAATGGAGATGGGAAGTCCATCAGGTAGGATCAAAACAGAAATTCCCACCAATGGATAAGTGCCTGTTCCAAAGCTATATTGCCACGTTCCTCCAGAGAAGAAGCTGAACCAATGATTGGCCCAGATTCTGAAGACATATACAAGCTTCAAGGCAGCTTGGAAATATGGGGTGGCAGTGTCAATCTCAGATTAGTGCAGCCTTTGTAGACGGAAGAGACCATAATGTTATGTAAGAAGCCCTATTAATTTAGAATCCCCCATATTTCATTTCAATGGTCTTCTTCTTCTTCTTCTTCTTCTTCTTCTTCTTCTTCTTCTTCTTCTTCTTCTTCTTCTTCTTCTTCTTCTTCTTCTTCTTCTTCTTCTTCTGCTTCTTCTTCTTCTTCTTCTTCTTCTTCTTCTTCTTCTTCTTCTTCTTCTTCTTCTTCTTCTTCTTCTTCTTCCTCTTCTTCTTCTTCTTTTTCTTCTGCTTCTGCTTCTTCTGCTTCTTTTTCTTCTGCTTCTGCTTCTTCTGCTTCTGCTTCTTCTTCTGCTTCTTCTTCTCTTCTCCTTCTCCTTCTCCTCCTCCTCCTTCTTTAACTTCAGCATGATTTTAGACATTATGTTCCACTTAGTCTGATTTTTTTTTCTCCAAATTTTAAAAACATCAAGCACTGTAGTATTCCCCTAAAAATTCTACATGTGCCCAAGAAGGTTATTTAGGCCTGGCTTGAAAATACAGCAAATGGCAATGCAAAACTCCTAGAGAAGATTGAACAAGAATTATTTTGATTCTCTAAACTTTGCATTAAAAAAAAGAGACAATTTCTCCTCTGTATGATTGGATATCTCCAATTTTCCCTCATGCAAAAGACATTTATGATGTAAAAAGTTTGCCATGAATTATGAAATACTTTGCGAAGACTGACTTCAGGAGAAAGATGGCTCTTTATATCAATTTTATTTCCCTTGAGGTTTCATGACTCCATTAGTAAGGCACCAAGCAGATATGGTGCGTTCTGGTTGTTCCAAGCAAAAAAATAAAATAAAATAAAATAAAATGAACTAGAAGTAAACAAGCATTTTAAAGTAGTAATTGCATTTTCTGATCAAATACACAGGAAATGTAGTGATTTATTTATTCATTTTTTACTATTATAGTACAGAAAATTCAGCTGATTCATTTTGGAATTTAAACTCAGCTGATTATTTCAGGATGTCACACTTTTTTTAAACCAGTTTTAACTGTCCATAAACTACTTCAGGAACCATCTAAGTAGATATTGTGTGTCCTTTGCAATCACAGAGATTAGAGGATGCTCAGACTTCTGATCCCATAAATGATGAGAGTGGCAAGGACCTGTAGATAGATGTTCTCTGTGCTGGCTCCAACACTCTGGAACATCTAGTTCATTTGCTACAGGTCTTCCACAGAATACTAAAAACATCTTAAGATGAATTTTAACAATTATCGTGCACTGTTTTTGAGATTTTTTTAAACAAGTTTTTTATATCTTAGTTTATGCAGTTGTGTGTGTGTCACATTGGTCAGAATCTTGGGAAGTGATAGACACAGATATAAAAATAAATATGAAATGCTCTAACAACATCTCCCCCAATTATCCTTCTTTCTCTGCCTTGTTATCCTACCGAGAACTAAGGATAAATTTCCTGACAGTTGGAACAATTAATCAGTGGAACGATTTGCCTCCCAAAGTTGTGGGTGCTCCAACACTGGAGATTTTTAAGAGGGGATTGGATATCCATTTGTCTGAAATAATATACAGTCTCCTGCTTGAGCAGGTGGTTGGACTAGAAGACCTCCAAGGTCCCTTCCAACTGTTATTCTGTTATTCCTTCTCTTGCCTCCACCATAAATTAAGAAGCACTGTGCCCTTTCTCCCAAGTAGAGATTGTTCCATCACCAATCAATCACTGTCTCACTTTGTTCCCCCCCCCCAAATTTACAGGAAATTTCAGCAGAGGGGATTTCTAATTTCCTTTCAAGCCATGACTCTTGGCACAGTAAGCTAAAACATTTCTGCTCGGCCTTGCACCCATTCTCAGACTCTTATTTGTTTGGAACAGAAAAGCTGATGGCATGGGAATATCTTAACAACAACTCTTTTGACTTGTCTCTCTGAAAAAGCAGATTTCTGTCTCTTTCTGACACACTGAGTGCTTCATACTCCATCATCTCTCTATGCATAATTCATCCATCTGTCCATCCATCTTTAAGTAAAGACTGAACACAGCTACTTTACGTGGAGAGGGGAACTGGTAATGGCATTAGCTTTTTACATAATTCAATCTTGGCACAATCTCATGTACTTGTTTTTCCAGGCAGTTAGCCTGATGTAGTTTGAGTGATTGCTCAGTCAATGCTTTCTAGCCTCCAGTTATCCTGACTAAGAGGACTCAAGAGCACAACGGGGTCACCTCCAGTCCAGGATAATTGCTCAGAGGTCTCTTGAAGCAGCAGCAGAAACATTGTGGGGCCTGCAAAAACAGTTCAGTCCATAGCAACTCTTGATTTTTTTTACCCCGGTCTAGAAACCTGTTTAAATTGTACAGTTTTGCAGTATTTACAGTTGGGTACACATTATGACTGGATTTGCTTTTACGATGACAACGATGATTTTTAAATCATGCAAAGCAAGGGATGAGAACATGCTAGAAACAGAAAACTATCCAATCTTTGGTAAGTTATTTTGAGTCTGAGAAAACCTTTTACCCGAAGATGGCTAAAGTATCACATGGACCCTAATAATCTGAAGCTCTTCAGTTATAGATGGCCAGGGAGAGCTGTGACTCTGTCCCTACTTATAGTAACCTAGGCCAAACAAGAACCCACACTACCAATCTCTTTCTCCTGCCAGCTCTTCCCTGATTTTGCTTTCTTGCATCATACCTTTTCCAGATTAGATAGCAAGCTGGATTCATACCCCAGTCTAGCAACAGAAAAGTTATTTTGGAAGAAGAAAATCCTTTTTACAATATCTTCAGACAGCAATTGTAAATGCAGACTTGGCATAGTTAAAACCAGGAATCCTGTAATCAAGCAATACATCCAAAGGAAATGTAGTAGGGTAGAATTCTGAGTTTGGCAAAGTGAGGTCAACACAACAAAACTGGGGCTTCAGAGTTGTTCTCAGTGTTTTCTTCCAGAGAGTGAATGAAGCAGTTAGGCTCAGACTCCACCCAGCTAAGCTGTGTTACTCCTTAGGGTCTATTTTTCTGCTGGCCTGTTTCTTGGAAGCCCCGCTAGCCTGTGGACTCACCCCTCTGCTCTTAGATCTTTGAAGATGCCTCTGCTTAGAACTGGGCAGCTGAACCTCAGAGATTTGAGAGGTTGTCAGTGGATGCCAGCAGAGTCCTGCAGTTCGTTGGATCCACTTCTGCCAGAGTAAAATTACTGGCTCTATCCTGCTGGAATTCTCCCACACCAGGTGTACAATCACTAGAGGGTCCTAGCTGTACTTCCTCCTCCCTCTTCCTTTGAACACATGTCAAACAAAATTTTACCTAAGGAACCTTAAAATTGTCCTTAGTTGTTCTGGTGTTAAGAGCTGTGTTTCCCCCCTTCAGGAGCTAACAAGCCATGTCAAGTTGGCCATGGATGCAACGAGAAGTCATTCAATCAGGTGACCCTTATAAAATGAGAAGACCCCAAAAGGAACTTTGCCACCACTGCTTCCAGATGCAGCTTTTTCTACACTTATTGTTCAGAGTGCTTTTCTCCAACTTTCCCTTTGGAGGAAAGATTTTGAGAAGGTGATCAGGTGGCCATTTTAGTAAAATGGAAGAAGAACTACAAAGAGGGAAATCTGCAGAAGAATATTGCCAAGCTAAAAGCAGGATTCTGCCCAAGCCTGTCACCTGTTCTGTTAGTAGGTAAGAATGACATGGAAACAAAGACTTGAGAAGACCACAAGCATCTTGACAGCAATGATGAAAACCCTTCCATCCTCAGTTCTGTTGGAGTATATGTCAAACGGAAAGCCTTCATCACATGCAGCACACAATCATAACATATGAATAAGTTAGTAGAAAACGCTTATTGTCATCAGCCTTCCTCGTGGGAAAGTCATATTTACTTACAGTAATGGTTTCATTATGGAACCTGAGTTATCTTGTATGTATGCTGTCAGAGTTAATAACAGTCATTTGTAATGTCTTTGGTGCCATAGGGAGAGAGAAAGGAAATGTAGATTTTCCATCTTTAAATAAATAAACACATTTTCTTTCTGCTGCATAGAAACTATGGCACAGCCGGTGAGTCTCAGTTTCCTAGTTCTTGTTTCCTCCCACCAAAGTAGATATCTGGCAGCCATTTAAAACCATACTAGATGACTGATATTCAGTAAACTACAAGTTTAATATATGGGAAAATAAAGAGTGATGCTGCATCTAGCATCACCCGAATTCATGCGTTCTACAGTAGATCCACAATGGAGCTTCAACAGCACAAGGCCACAGATCCAAACTTGCAGAATTAGCAGTTGAGAAATATAAAGAATGGCCTTTCTTATTTGGGGATTAGGAAAGCTTTCGTTTGGTTTAAATTTAGATAGAAATTTATCCATTTTGCAGTTGATCAATATCTAATCAGGACATAATTTTCCTTCATTCCTAAATTCAACGGATAGAAACTAATCAAGGAGAGAAGCAACCTAGAACTAAGGAGAAACTTCCTGACAGTTAGAACAATTAATCAGTGGAACAACCTGCCTCCAGAAATGGTGAATGCTCCAACACTGGAAGTTTTTAAGAAGAGACTAGACAGCCATTTGTCCAAAATGGTGTAGGGTTTCCTGCCTGAGCAGGGGGTTGGACTAGAAGACCTCCAAGGTCCCTTCCATCATCATCATCATCATCATCATCATCATCATCATCATTATTTTCATATGTGAAAGAACTATGATCTTTTATGCACAAATGGACAGGAATGATCCACCATCAGAAGGCTGGGGCTTTAATTTAATCATTTTTGAAAATCCATGGACCATAATGGGTCAATAGATAAAGATGGAATCCTCTGGGTTTTTTTTTTTTTTTTGAGGGGCATGGGAGAAGCTTTTTAAAAAAGTTTATTCTATGAGTTTCCTAACTCTGTTACTGATTTTCAGCAATAGTGATCAGAGGCAGTCTATAGGCCTGCAAAGCATAGCTGACGAGGGAATTCTGGGAGTTGAAGTCCACACATTTTAAAGTTTTCAAGGTTGAGAAATACTGTTCCAGATAGTTCACCCTTGAACAAAAAACTGGTAAATAATATGCCTGAAAGCCAAGTGAAAAATGGCTGATTCCACCAGAATGGAAATGTCAACAATGCTTTGTATCTTCCGAATGTGAGGCCATCTCAGAAACATATTCAGCAAACAGAAATGAGTGTGAAAACTCTTAAAGGAATCCCTGGTTGGCACACTAATGCAATCCAAACAGAAAGATAAAAAGAAATGTCTACTTACACATAAAGCACACTTTTCTGGTCTCCAACCTGGCCTCCATCTCCCACAGTTAATGTATCATATCCTCTCTCCAAGTCAAATTCTTCAAAATTGAGTTTGATTACCTAACAAAGACATAAAGCATTAGGCTGGTTGATTAAATTGTTAGGGCAAATCAGTTCATGCAACAGACACCACAAATAGGCAACGTTCTTTTAGAGTGACAGGATTTTTAGTTCTGACTGGAAGATTCTCAGATTCATATCTCTCCAAATCACGACGATAATGTAATAGACCTTGAACAAACTACATCTGATGGTATGACTCAGTACATAAAACTGTTCTAAAAGTGAACATATGAGAAAATGAGTTATGTAAGTGCTTAGAAAGGTCACACCGGGAACCAACTCAAATGAACTTCCCAGTATACAGACGCCATACCTGAATTCTAAATCACATTCTTTTCATGGATTTCCACTGACTCAACATGTACAATGATTTAGAATAAGGATGAAGAATTTCTGATCCATTAAGGCAGGGGTCTTCAAACTTGGCCCTTTTATGACCTGTGGACTTCAACTCCCAGAATTCCTCAGCCAGCGTGACTGGCTGAGGAATTCTGGGAGTTGAAGTCCACAAGTCATAAAAGGGCCAGGTTTGAAGACCCCTGCATTAAGGTATCCCACTGAGCCCATGGAGTAGCAACTGAAGCTTTATTCCACCAATCCTTCATTGGAGAAACATACTATCAACAAGAGTTTGCTGAAAGATTCCAGTGTCTGGAAACTGATAAATGAAGGTGATTTCAGGTGAGAATAGCTTCAATTATCATTTGCTTTGCCCAACCCATCTACTTCATAAAAACAGAAGCTGGACCGGATACAAAGCTGGAATGGAGATGCTATCATTTGTCATATACATGAACAAGAGTTTGATGTAACACCAGTCTGATCTAGGACCCATGATTTTGAAGCTATGCATGTAAATAATGGGATATAGTCCTCCGTAAATAATTTAATTAGTGATCTCTAAATTAAATAAGGGTAGATATGAGAAGGAAAGGGAGGGTTTAGGATTCATTTTTTGATGCAGTTGTAAGAAACTCTTTTTCTTCTTCTTGTGCCATATCCATTATTGGACATTGGCAATCATGTTGGCGATCATGTTTTTATACAAGGGCAACCAGAGTCTTTTCTTTAACCATTATGATGCTGGTAGAAATGACATAATCCAGGATTGGCAAGTTTATGATGCTGGTAGAAATGACATAATCCAGGATTGGCAAGTTATGATGCTGGTAGAAATGACATAATCCAGGATTGGCAAGAAATGACATAATCCAGGATTGTTGAATTTTGTTGCATTTCCATGAGGTTTTCTGAGTTTTTATGTATGTCAATGAGCAGTTGAGGTTGAAATGGTAGCAAGCACTGAGTGCATTTTCTTGGACGTTCACCTTCCATTTCTTTCTTTTTGATACCCTCCTGTTTCTGACAGCCTTGTCTCCCTTCCACCTGTTGTCGATCGTTGGGCAGATCACTCTTGCCAAAGTTGCAGGCCGTTTCTAAAACTGGGCTGCAGGTTGCCTTAAATTAAATCCCAGCTATAATTTAAAATACGTATTGCTCCACTGTTTGATAGTTCATCCCTCAGTCCATTGTTAGGAATCCTCATGCAACTGAAACATCAAATTAACCTTGGTGTCACAGTGATGTTCTCCTTAAAAGTGCCATAAAGAAATGTTGACTTTGTTAGCAAATCAACGTCTTAACTAAACAATAGATCTGATTCTAGCTTTATACTGAAGGAGACATTTTCTAATGCGGAAGTAAGTAAATGTTGATTTGGAAACCCTAGGAGAATTCTCTTGTGACCTGAAAGAAAAGTAGATGGCGAACAGAAATGACAAATATTCATAGCCAATTTCATAATTGTTCTTCCACAATTGAATATGCCTACTCTGTTGTTGATACACTTTAAATCTGCATAGTCATGCTGAACCGTGGCAGTTCTGATCTAAATGGAATAGGCAGTGGTACATTTTTTTATAATTTAAAAGGGAGAGGCGATGGACGAACTTAAGCCAGCCCTAGAATTGCTACAAATATATAAATGTCCATTTTAAATTAATAGGAATGGCTAAAGATGATATTAAATATCATCTGCTGTTTTGAATAAAAACAAATGATGTTGACAGAAAAAGACAGCCGATCCCTGGTTTCATTTTTTTATGAGTGTATATGAATATATTTTATTGGCCTAGGGGACCAAAAAGCAAAATGTGGAAAAGCAAAATATCAGGACATAAATGAACATTTCCCTAATCCTGTGTGAACTGATTGTTTTCAGAAGCTGTGTAGAGGACAGAGAAGCAGAAATTAAATTTAAGTGAGGTATGAAAGAAGTTGAATGAATATAGATGCTAAAAACATTTGTTCAAGTAAGACAACACTGAGGCAAAATTAAGAATTTCACCTAACATCTAGCAAACCATAGATTGAGTCACAATAGATGTTTCCCTTTTCCTTTTTTCCCATTTGTTTTTATGCACAGTTGATACCATCTTTTTCTCAAACAAAGCCAATCTAGATTTACGCTCTAACTCCTAATAATCCTAATTTCTCTGGTCTTCATCTTTTAGTGACTATGGTATATATTAACAGATTTTCTGACATTTAGCAAGCAACTGTATCTGGTATTTTTAGGACACCTATGCACACCTGATAACTACACACCTTGTGGGTCTACTAGGTGTCCAACCTGTGCATTTGTGCCAGTAAGAATTATCTCTATTTCATGTTGATGCTGAAAATAAAGATACTGTTCATAACCACATCAACATTCAACACCCAAATACTGTGATCAATAGCTGAAATAAATCTTGGTTGCAATATTTTCATTATTTGTTTCCTCCAAAAATGTCTTCTTAATCTGAAGGATTCACCTTTGCCAAGTATCAACCTGGGCTAAAAATATTAAAATCCACATGATGATGAAATAATGCAATTAATACAAAGAACAAAGGGTTGTCAAGTGACATGATTCATTAATTAAAGCACCCATTCATGTAAATTGCATTTTAACAAGTTTAACCCTAATTAAATAGCTGCTTAGATTTTAATACCACAGAACATAACAAGGTTTGGGAGTCGAATAATTATTTATGTATTTCTCCCGCCCACTTTCCTCCCTCCCCTGCTGTCTTCTTTGCCCTAGTTTTGTTTTTACTTTTAGTTAAAGGTTGAAAATTATTTAATGACTTTATATTACAAGAAACGTCCTGGCCAAATGGATGACGAAAAGCTTGTTTGTAAAAGTCATGGAGCCCTATTACACAGAAATAAGAAACTGACCATAAGGGGTTTTTAAACGGAACAACATATTAATCTGTGGCAGGTTTTTAAACATTACCGTATTTTCCAGCGTATAAGGTGACCCGGCATATAAGATGACCCCCGACTTCGGCGTCGATTTCCATGCCTAGAAAGTCATCTTATCCGCCAGAAACTACCGTAATTTCTGGCATATAAGACGACTCGGCGTATAAGACAACCCCCGACTTCGGTGCCAATTTCCGCGCTTTAGAAAGTCGTCTTATATGCCAGAAAATACGGTAATTCGAATATTGTAATACTATTTTGTAGTTATTTATTTATTTTGGGAAGGGGTGCAATGGCTCAGTGGTTAAAGATGCTGTGCTTGTCGGCTGGAAAGTGGACAGCCTGGGTTCAAGATCTGAATGCTATGGAATGGGGTGAGTTCCCGTTCCTGGCTGAGCTGCTGCCCACCTAGCCATTCCAAAGCATGCAAACGTGAGTAAATAAATAGGCACCACTTGGTGGGAAGGTAACAGCGCTCCTTGTATATAGCCATGCTGGCCAGATGACAACAGGAAATGCCTTCAGGCAATGCCAGTTCCCGTGGCCAAGAAACAGAGATGAGCACCAGATGAGCTAGACACTACTGGACAGGGAAACTTTTACCTTTTTAAAATGTTTGGTGTGCATTCAAGTCACTGAGTTGATTCCTGTGACTGCCTCAACGAGTCCCTGCACTTTTCTTGGCAAGATTTCAAAACTGGTTTTCCTGCTACCTAGGGTTGAAAGATGGCGACTTGCTTTGTGCCTAAGGTGAGAGTATCACTCATAATCTCCCAATATCTAACCTGAGGCCTTAACCAGTACAATAGACCAGCTTTCTACACCGCCGTGTATAATAGCATGCATCTGAATATTCAGTCTGCTTACAGCTGATTATGGACAATCGGCTTTCCGTTATATGATTGCACTTTGTAGAGATTACATATCTGCCCCTGTTCCCACCTACCCAAATCCTTCAGAAAAGCCTCCTTAAGCTCTCCCCTAGGCTCTGCAAACTAGACTAAGATTACTGAATCTGGGCTGTAAAATTCAGGATGACCACTAGATTACCAGTTTGCTGCCATTTAATGGTTTTCTGGCTTTCTGAACACACAACGGAAGCCCTAAGAGAGGAACTATGGGATCTACAAGTCCCACATATCTTAAGAACATCAAGTTGGAGGAAGGCTGTTTTAAAGTCTCTGAATTGGCATGTCTGCCAGCACTTATGGAATGTCTTAACACTTATAAAATGTGCTAGATGGAATCAGATCATTGACCTATTTGATTCACTATAATAGCGTAGGCTTTCACAGCTGGCATTCAACAAAGTGGTCATGAGCTTTCAGGCTGAGTGGCCATGGTCTAGTTTTCTTTTGAGCTGACGATGAGTACAAACTCTTGAGAGGTGTGCCATAGAGAAGGCCACTCTGCTTCTGAAGATGCCAGCCAAGGAGGTCCTGGTGAAATGTTAGAAAACTAGAATGTGGTCATTCAGCCTGAAAACTCATCACTGTTTAGTTGAGTGTTTCTCTACCTTTAAGACTTCAACTCCCCAAATTCCTCAGCCAGCATTCTGGGAACTGAAGTCCACCCAACTTAAAGCTGCTGAGTTAGAGAAATGTTGGTTTGATTCAAGGTAACCTTGTACGGGGAGACCTGAAGTAGAGAAAAGCATCTGTTAGTATCATTTTCAGGGTGTCTTTCAATGGATAGGTTGAGGATGACCTCAAAAGCCTTCTGCATGTAATTCAAGTAAATTTAGC